GCACCTTCTGAGAAGTCGTTCATGATGTTTTCGGGGAAAGCATAGCACAACCTCTGAGAAGGCACGAGGCCTCCCGAAGCGTCTGAGAAAGCCCGCCCCTTTTCACTTCCCCCCAGGCTCGCCGGCGAAATGAGAAGAGGGGCTGGAAAACATCGCGCGAACATCTGCAAATGCAGCATGCCCGCATATCTAGTGTGCGAGGCGAATGTAGGAATGCTTCACGCACTCATCGTCGATGGCGAACGCTGTCATGCACAGAAGCTCTTTCTTGTCAACCTCCTTCATCGTCTCCATGGCCTCCTTGTAGTTTATCTCTTTCTCGCCCTTTTCCTTGTACTGGCTGACCTTGCTGTTCTCCAGGAGCTGCTCATCCTCGCCGTACTGCTTGGATGGGAACTCCTTCTTGAAATACTTGACCTCGTCTTTCGTGAACATCGACCAGACTGGCATCCAATCAACCTTCACGTCCTGACACGCAGCGGTCAACTTCGGCTTCCGAATAGCAGCCTGGGAGGGAAGGCCGCCGCACTTGTCAGTGCACATGTGCGCGAACCAGCACTGGAACTCCCTTGCGTACGTGGCGTTGTCCTGGAATTAGGTCGGGCATGTCCCCCTACAAGCGGATGTTGGACGAAAAAATGAAATCACGCAACCATACATCAAATGTTTTAAACCAAATCGTGCCCTTACTATTGTTCCCCACATCCTGAGTGGGGTCCTTGTTCCCCAGATCCTGAATGGGGCTCTTGTTTTCCAAAAACACCCTCTCCCTCGTCTTCTCCCGCTTCCTGTTCCACCTGCCATCGCAAGACCATACATACCATACCATACCGTACCATACCATACCATACAATACAATAGCATACCGTACCATACCATACCATACAATAGCATAAGATATCATGCAACACCATATCATATGATTGCGCGCCCCTCCCACACGTCCAGGGAGGTCCCGCCTGAGCGAGGGCAACATTCGGATATCATGTGATTTATCAAATTTCGTGCCCCTCCCGCCCGTCCGGGGAGGCCCCGCCTGAGCGAGGACAATATTCGGAGACCATGTGACGTGTCAGGTTTCTTGCCCCTCCCACCCTTCCAGGGAGGCCCCCCCCTGAGCGAGGACAGCATTCGGATACCATGCGATTTATCAGGTTACGTGCCCCTCCCACCCCTCCAGGGAGGCCCCGCCTGAGCGAGGACAATATTCGGAGACCATGTGATGTATCAAGTTTCGTGCCCCTCCCACCCGTCCAAGGAGGCCCCGCCTAAGCGAGGACAGTATTCTGACACCATGTGATGTATCAATTTTCGTGCCCCTCCCACCCGTTCAGGGAGGCATCGCCTGAGCGATGGCAATGTTCGGATACCATGTGGTTTATCAAGTGCCGTGCCACTCCCACCCGTCCAGGGAGGCCCCGCCTGAGCGAGGACAATATTCGGATACCATGTGATGTATCAGGTCTCGTACCCCTCCCGCCAATCCAGGGAGGCTCCGCCTGAGCGAGGACAATATTCGGATACCATGTGATTTATCAGGTCTCGTGCCCCTTCCACCCGTCCAGGAAGGCCCCGCCTGAGCGAGGCCAATATTCTGATACCATGTGATTTATCAGGTTTCGTGCCCCTCCCACCCCTCCGGGGAGGCCCCGCCTGAGCGAGGACAACATTCGGATACCATGTGATGTATCAAGTTTCGTGCTCCTCCCACCCGTCCAAGGAGGCCCCGCCTGAGCGAGTGCAGTATTCGCATACCATGTGGTTTATCAAGTTACGTGCCCCTCCCACCCGTCCAGGGAGGCCCCGCCTGAGCGGGGACAGTATTCGGATGCCATGTGATTTATCAAGAGTCGTGCCCCTCCCACCCGTCCAGGAAGGCCCCGCCTGAGCGAGGTCAATATTCGGATGCCATGTGATTTATCAGGTTTCGTGCCCCTCCCACCCCTCCAGGGAGGCCCCGCCTGAGCGAGGACAAACTTCGCATACCATGTGATTTATCAGGTTTCGTGCCCCTCCCACCCGTTCAGGGAGGCCCCGTCTGAGCGAGGCCAATATTCGGATATCATGTGATTTATCAGGTTTCGTGCCCCTCCCACTCGTCCAGGGAAACCCCGCCTGAGCGAGGACTCGTGCCCCTCCCACCCGTCCAGAGAGCCCCGCCTGAGCGAGGACAATATTCGCATACCATGTGATTTGTCAGGACACGTGCGCCCCCCACCTGTCCAGGGAGGCCCCGCCTGAGCGAGGACAATATTCGGATGCCATGTGATTTATCAGGTTTCGTGCCCCTCCCACCCCTCCAGGGAGGCCCCGCCTGAGCGAGGACAATATTCGGACACCATGTGATTTATCAGGACACGTGCCCCTCCCACCCGTCCAGGAAAACCCCGCCTGAGCGAGGACAGTATTCGGATACCATGTGATTTATCGGCTTACGTGCCACTCCCACCCGTCCAGGGAGGCCCCGCCTGAGCGAGGACTGTATTCGGATGCCATGTGATTTATTTGGGTACGTGCCCCTCCCACCCGTCCAGGGATGCCCGCCTGAGCGAGGACAGCATTCGGATACCATGCGATTTATCAGGTTACGTGCCGTAGATCTTCTCGTGCTCGCCCCAAAAGCTTCTCTGCGCTGCAAAAGAGCACGCTGCCGAGCGCGCAATTGTCGTTAAATTTCGCAGGTTTCGTGCCCTCCCGTGTCTCCAATGATGCCTCCCCTGAGCGACGAGGGTGTTCAGATGCCGTGCTGCCTCCCAGGTTTCGTGCCCCGTCCACCCGTCCAGCGGAGGCCCCGCCTCAGCCTTATTTGGGGAACTCCGGTAGCATAATTGATTGTTTTTGAAAATTCCTCCTGTAGAGGGGCACGCCCGACTTAGTCCTGGAGGAGGGCAGAGCGGCATGGCTGCAGTCATTGCGAAAACGACCTCATGCGACCCCACTTTCGCGTACTCCTTTGTTGAAGGCGTGAACGTGCAATGCAGAGCAATAAGGCGCAATGCAATGCGATGCAAGCCACTGCAATGCCTGCCTGGGGGATGACAGAGCGTGTGAGACATGTGACACTTGGCTGTTCCCCTCCCCCTTTCCCCTTCCCCCGGGGACCTGCATTCGGAGGGGTACACGAGCTTCCCGGCGCACCTGTCTGGCCCTCGGAGCTTCACCCACCGTGGCCTCAGAGATGTCCAAGATGCCTTCAAGATGGCTCGAGAGGAGCTCCAACGTGCCCGAAAGGCCTCTGGAGCATCCAAGATTGCTTCTGGACGGCCCCAGAGGCCTGGAAGACGCCCACAGAGGGCCCAGACCAGACAGCCCCAGATGGCGTTGCATGACTTTCGCGGTCGCGCCGTTTGAAGGGGCCCTGGACGCCGAAACGGCTCGAGAAGACTCCCAAATTGGCCCACTACGGCCGAAGATGTCCCCAAGAGGACCCGAAGATGGCACAAGAGGGCCCCGAGACTGCTCAAGAGGCCGTAAAGACGGCCACGATGGCCCCCAAGGGAGCCCTGAGAAGTGCCAAGGACACCCAAGAGAGGGGGGGAACTCGTAGGGTCCCGAGAAGGCCTGCTCCACGAGATGGCCCCCAAGACGCCCAGCACGCCCCTGAGATGCCCCCGATAGACCCCCCAGAAGCCCTCAGAGTGAGGAGGAGGAGGAGGAGGAGGAGGGGGAGGAGGAGTAGAGATGAGGAGGAGGAAAAGGAGGAGGAGGAGGAAGACGAGGAGGAGGGGGAGGAGCCCCAGAAAGACCACCACGAGGCCGCCCCCGAGGCCCCCAAGAGGCCCCCCAAAGAAGCCCCGGGGCACGCGCAGGCAGCACGACGGGAGGTGGCAAACAACACACGCGAGATCGGACGCAGAACATCTTCTCCTCTTCGGCGGGGTGGCGGAATGGCGTTACACTGGGTGGGATATCAATCGAGGAGTGGGTGACTAACCTTCCGACGGAGCTTGCCCATCCTCCCCCCTTCGCCACCTCCTCCTCCTCCTCCTCCTCCTCCTCCTCCTCCCCCTCCTCCCCATCTCCTTCTTCTCCTCCTCAGCCAACCCCCCCTCCACCCGTTCCGACAGCACGTGCCCAACTCCCCCAGCGGATCCAAGGGGGGGGCGATTCTGGTCCCATCCAGAGTAAGCCTCTGGGATCAGATTGCACCACCAAGTGCCATCGCACAGCAGCATTGCGTGGCGTTGCAGGGACAGTGTAGCAGCACGGCGTAGCAACCAGGTTGCATGATCAGGGACCTGCCATGTACTGCGTCGGATCGCACGACACGGCATTACATCGTAGACCCCGTGAACTTACACTGCTGCATGGCACTTACGCAGTGATGGTTCCCCATGGCATGGCATACCAACATCGCGCATAGCTCAGTAATTACTGCACGGTATACAATGCGATGTTATTGTAGTAGGTCAATGCTGACTTTGCATGGCGCAGCATGGCATAGCGGTGCGCAACACAGTGGCACTGCATGGTATGGGCATACCAGCGCACAACACTGCAACACCTAATTCATTATTTTAATATATATATATATATATATATATATGTGTATGCATGTATGTATATATATATATATATATATATATATATAAAACAAAAAATAACAAACAAACAAACAAACAAACAAACAAACAAACAAACAAACAAACAAACAAACAAACAAAAACAAAAACAACAAAAACGCGGCGCGCCCTGGAAGACCCACCGAAGCCCTGGGCGACCCCCGGGGGCCCGGAATCACGGAGTTCGGACGACCCCTTATCGACGTCACGAGAGAGGCGAGGCGCTCCGGACGACACGCGCAGCCGAGAGCCAGAAAACTGACGGCCACGACTGGGCCTTTGCACCAAAGAGATTAGGAGACAAAGGAAAGCGTTGAGGAGCACCGCTATACGCGTTCGGTGATCTCTCCTTCCCCCCCACCATCCATGCCCCGACCCACGAAAAACACAGTGATCAACGGGTGATTGTGACCGTGGCGTTTTGGCCCTCCCGATGTCCGTTGTACGACCTGGGTGCCTGAAGAGCTCCACCGACGCGGTCGCGAACCAGTCCTTGGAACCCTTCACCAGCTCGTCAAAGCCCTTCCCGCACGCCGTGTCCGGCTCTTGGCGCGATCCATGGCGCAAAAGGGCGTCGTGCCGCCGCTTCGCGGCCGACGCCGTGAACGCCGCGCAGCCGAGCAGAGCCGCTGCGGCGAAGGAAGCCTTCATTCTGCAGGGCGGGCCCGGCCGAGAGCGGATCTCGGCGCAGCAGGGGCGCAGGTAGAGGAAGAAAAAGCGCAAACGCCACAAACATAAACTTGTGGCGCTCCGCGCGGATTTCCAGGGTCTGCGCTGGCTCCTCCTCCTCCTCCTCCTCCTCCTCCTCCTCCGCCTCCTCCTCCTCCTCCTCCTCCTCCTCCTCCTCCTCCTCCTCCTCCTCCTCCTGGAGGGGCAGGACGAGGAGCAGGGCGAGGCCTCCCTGGCGCGCGGAGCGCGCCGGGGGCGGCCCTGGAGGCGGGAGGCGCCGCGGGAGGGGGGGCCCCGGCGCGGGCCCGAGAAAGCCGCGCGGGGCGCCGCAGGTTTATGCTCGATGGCGTTGGCCTTCCTCGGGCAGGAGCAGCCGGCCCAGTTGCCGCCTTGAGCCAAGGCGAGCACCAGACAGCCTGGGGCCCTTTGAGTGTGCCGGCGATCCTGAGACCCTGGGGCCCTGAACAGGTGTGATGAAACAAGCAAGTGTGCGAGCAGAACGCAGGTGCGATAAACGAACGAAACATATTGATACAAACAGGTGTGATAAGAACACGGTGATCGAACAACAAGTGTGATTAACAACTGAGGAAGTGTAATAAAACAACAAATGGTTTATCACACTTGTTCGGAGTTGTTTTATCGCACCAGACAGTCCGATCCTGAGATCCTGGGGCCCTGCTGAGCCGCGCAGCCTGCACTTCGGCTTGGAAGCGTCGCGAGATCGGTGCATCTCGCTTCCATGCTGGGGAGGGCTTTTGCGGCGAGCGTAATGTGTTCAATCAGGCGCGCGGGGACGCGATCCCCTCCTTCACCGCCGTCCTCCGCCTGCACCTCCTGCTCCTCCTGCGAGGGGCTGAACGTTATCCCCGCTCCTCCTTTGATCGATGGCCTTCAAGATGGCCCCAAGAGGCCTTCCAGGGCTCCCAAGAGGGCCCCAAGAGAGCCCCAAGAGGGCCCCAACAGGGCCCCAAGAGGGCCCCAAGAGGGCCCCAAGACGGCCCCAGAAGCCTCCAAGACGCCCAAGATGGCCTCCAAAACGGCTAAGATGGCCCCAAGATGCCTCCAAGACGGCCCAAGCAAGATGCACCCAAGAAGGCCTGAGATGGCTCCCAGATGGCCTAAGACGGCCCAAGAAGCCCCCAAGAGGCCTCCAAGACGGCCCAAGAGGCCTCCAAGAGGTTTTCCAGGAGGGCACGAAGAGGCCAAAATCACTGATTGTCCTTAGGTTTTTGAAAGATGTTGGCATGTTCTTCCGTTCGGCAGTCCGACGGCTCAAGACGGCCCAAGAGGCCCCCCAAATCGCCCACGAGGCCTCCAAAATGGCCCCATGACGGCCCAAGAGGCCCCCAAGACGGCCCACGAGGCCTAAGACGGCCGAAATGGCCTCCAAGACGGCTAAGATGCCCCCAAGATGCCTCCAAGACGGCCCAAGATACACCCAAGACGGCCTAAGATGACCTCAAGATGGCGCAAGGCGGTCCAAGAGGCCCCCAAGAGGTATCAAAGACGGCCCAAAAGACGTCCAGGAGGTCTTCCAGGAGGGCAAGAAGAGGCCAAAATCATTGATTTTCCGTAGGTGTTTAGAAGATGTGTGGCATGTGCGTTTTGTCGGCAGCCCGACGGCTCAAGACGGCCCAAGAGGCCCCCGAGATCGCCCACGAGGCCTCCAAGATGGCCCCACGACGGCCCAAGAGGCCCCCAAGACGGCCCCAAAGGGGCCCCAAAACGGCCCAAGAGGCCTCCAAGACACCCAATATGGCCTCTAAGAACCCCTGATATGCCCAAGAAGGGCCCAAAACGACCCACACAGGCCCCGAAGACGGCTTCCGACGGCGCCAGACAAGCCAGGAACGCCCTAAGATACGCGAAGCGCGAAGAATTCAGGAGGGACGGGCTGGATATAGGCCTCGAAGCACCTGAGGGCATCATGAGAGCAATCTGAGCTGTCGTGCACCTGGCCACTGTACTTAAGCTAGCTCGCGGCAGCACTCGCCGGCGTCAACGAGCGCGGTGCCAGAGGGGTGCACAATCGCACGTCGCCTATGCTTGCGGCGCCGTGACCTCCAGACACTCTTGTAAGCGAACAGGGAGTTAAGCCTGCTCTGCCTTTTGGCCTCGGACACCCTCCTGTCCTCCCTTACCTCCTCAACATCAGCATCCATGGAATCATTCTGAAGGCCTCCGAGAAAAGCGTGAAGCCGAGCATGCTGAACAAGCCTACGCCATTGCCGATCAAAAATAATATCCATGGGCAGGAGAGGCCCACAAACCCCGATTCATGATGACAGGGTTGCAGGAAGGAGAGGCCCGAAGGGCCGCCAGAGCCCAAGATAATGCTCCCGCCTCTGAACACGCCCCAATTTCTTCAAGCTCCGCTTTGAATAAAAACGCGACTTCCCGAAGACAATCTCTGACTTTAGTGGCTGCCTCCAGGGGGTCCTCGGAGATGACGCCCGCGCCCTCCAGCACTTCGCTGACCTTCGCGGGATACTTCGGATGCTGAGTGATCCAGGAAGGGATCCTCCGGGGGCCTCGAATAGATGGCTGGAAAGATAGAACGGCAAGCACATGATCAGAAAGCTCGCTCATGTCCGCGGGGATCCCCAGGGCACGAAAAACCGGGTAGAGATCGCAAAGGTCCCCAGGGGGCAAGCTAGTGCAAATCCGATCCAGACGGGAAAGCGAGACAACGCAAGGGCGTTCATCCCCCCAGCCTTCAACGCGATGAATGAAGGAGGCCTGATCAACCTCTGCAGAGCGTGGAAAGAGCCTCTCGAACTCCTTGGAGGTCGAGAGGCCGCTCAAGATCACTCGCCCTGAATGGTGGCGGCTGCCCTCGCCACGCGCCAAAAAATCGAAGTCTCCCAGAATCAGCTGAGTAGCATGGGCGGCGGGGTGAAAGGTTCGACGGGTGCGACGGAGCTGTTGTTGACGACGGGGCGATGGGAATGTTCGGGGCGGACGTTCACGATATTTAAACACTCGTGCTGATTATGCACGGTGGCGCTGTGAATGCGCCCGCGCTCGATCATGTGGTGCTCAGCGTGCGCGAACAGAGCTTGCAGCCGAGGGTGAACGAATATCACTCATCCACCAGAGGTGGTCGAGTCGAGGAGCGCGCCGACGCCGAATAGTTGATGCACTTCTCGGCGAAAGAAACCAAAGTGGGCCTATGAGCCCGGGGCCTCTTGGATACCAGCAGTGTCATGGCTGGTACAGAATGAAATAATAGTTTCGCACTTCCTTTTTTATGAAGGGCTTGTTGAGGGGCATAGGTCGCACCTAACGTAGACCTGGCATTCCAAAAGACCAGTGACATAGCCTGCTTGGGATAGAAGGGCGACTGGGAGGCCATATCGAGCACGTCAACACTCGAGGCGGCGGAAGACGCGGAAGAACCAGCAGAGCTGGCAGCGCTGGAGGGTGCGGAACATGACGTAGTGGGAGAAGAACTGCTTGTGCTCGCCGCTGGAATTCTGAAACTGGTCCTTCTCGCGTGGAGCCGTAGAGCTTGAAAAGAGTACCAGCCGCAGGCGAGGATGACGAGAATGCTCAGCTTGGTGAGACACGTTCGTGCCCACTCTGCACGGCGGCTATGGGAGGCTGGACCGGGTCGCGGCCAGACGGAACTAGCGCACCCACGCCGCGTTCCGCCAGGAGAAGTCCGAGCAGGGCTGAGACAGCGCGGTGGACCCCTAGCGAGGCGTCATTGCGGAACAGATTTTGCCAGCGTGCTCCTTCGAGATGCCGATAGTAGCAATGTCCCCGTAGTTACAGTCGACCTCGATCTCTCTCAGCTTCAACTCCCTGATCCTGAAAAGGACCACGCATTCGTCGTTCTCTACTAGGAAGAGCAAGCCTTTGAAGCCCTGGCTGGCGAACTTCATCGAAGGGCACCAAAGATTGCTGTCGCGCATGAATTCGCAAACCTTGGTCCAGAGAAGGCCGAGAGCTTGATTGCGCCGCCGAACTCCTTAAGGGGCATCGAGACGGGCACGAAGGGGAACCTCTTCGAGATTCTTGTTGTCGGTCCACACCAGCCCGTGCTCTTTGACGTTGTCCACGAAAGCCCGCGCGTGCATCGCCTCAGTGAAGTCGATGCTGAAGGGTTTGTTCGCGTTGTGAGACTTGGCCGTGAAAGAGGCACCCTTGCGCGGCATCGCCCTGCTGCCACGAGGAGTCTCCGAGAACGCGAGCACGACTTCAGCAAGGGCGGGACGCGGGAAGCCACCAAATACAGACGCGGCAAGGATTGGACTCGAGAGGGCGGCCGAGGAACCAACCGCGCGAGGGCGCTTGGACCGAACGCCGACTGATTTCCGGCCCACAGAGCCACTCGCGGTAGAAGCCGTGTTCGAAGAGAGCGCTTGCACCTGAGCTGCGGCCTCATCGCACTTGGTCAGCAGGGCCCCAAGAACGTCATGCTGGGCGAGGTTGGCCATGGCGGAGCCGGTCTCCGCTTGGGGGCCGTGCAATTGCTTCTGCGTGTTCTCAAGCTTCCGGCCGCGGTCACGGAAGCACTCCTTCATGGCGCTGGCGCCCTTCAGCTTGTCATCTACTCCGTCGAGTCGGACGTTGATCCCCCGAGTGCCCGCGGGGATCTGGGAGAGCCGCTCACCAGGAGAAGACGTGGCCGCAGCTGGGGCCCGAAAGAGTACTGCTACGCCTGAAGCTCCAGAAAAGGTAGGGAGATGCGGCGCCGTCCTGGAGGCTCTTGGCTGCGATCAAGCTATAACCTCGGGGAGCAATGTGAACTGAACGTCGCTGATTTGCCCGTCCTCTGGCCCGCGAGTCCCCCCCTCTTCCGCGAGGTTCGAGGGGTGATACAAGAATGCAAGCGCTATGATTCGTCCGCCCATCGTCTCGCTATCCCATCCTTCTCCGCGGGAGCTGGGGGCGCGGCGCGCATTCAACCTTGCACTGTTCATGTGTAGATTTTTCGACCTACTTTTCTCTCCGTCCCCCTTGTGGTTCGGGCTGTGGGGGCCGCGGCAAGAATG